GCCATTTTATAAGAAAAATGCATACTCTTAAAAACGGCTAGAGATTTTCGAAATTACATTGTTGTCCAATAATGCAATTCAAGAAATCACAGTTGTGTTACCCCTTAAAATTGGACAACGTTTATTTTGCGTTAAGTAAAATACAAAATAAGTATTTTATTTGAACAGTATATAGCTTAATTCAATACCGACTATCTTTATCATGTTCGAGTAATAATTAGAATTCGGAAATTGTTCCTTAGTAGAATTCAAAGACGCTAGAGAGGTATTCAAGTAAATTGAGATATAGTAGTTAATGGATTGAGTCCGAATGGAATGCACTGAGCATATCCACAGGTAGTTGCATGGTGCAGTTAGTGGCGCGAAGTTATTTCGATAGTCTGGGACGTGTCTTTTAACCAGGCGCGTAATGGTTCCGTGCGAACGTCGTCATTTAAAACAGTGGGGTCATTCCATCTCTGCTTCCATATTCGCCGTATCCGATTATTGCCATCGAATCCCTTTTCATCGCATCGCTCGTAATTTCAGCCAAGACGGTTGGTACAGCGAGGGTTACGACTATCACGGCACGAGGGTCGACGAGACGAGAATTTACAGCGATACGGAGTATTATCCAAGTACTACAACGAGCACTTCCAGGCGAAGAGGTAACATATAATACACATATATATGTATAACCGAACGTGACGTAGTTCGGTAATGGATACGATTCCAGTTTGCAGTGCATACATGTACAGAGTGTTCCGAACTCCGAACGAAACGGAATAATTACTAAATAATCTTTGCAATTTCATTATTTTTTATTTCGTTCAGTCCTAAATTTTTAGGAACAGTGTATATTTGTTGGACATGCTCTTAAAATTCACCACGGAATACTTCGTATATCTATACACAGTAAATGTATTTTTTTTACACAAAGTATTAAAAGAATGTTTATAATATAACTCTGTTTATTTCTATTCGTAATAGGCCCCCACAGAAGACCGTCTTTAGAAAGACAAATGACTTTGTACGATGATCATTCTTATTATACTGACGGATATAGCAGCGACGGACGAGTGGGTAAAATGAGCGCTACGTACCCGGAATGTCAAACAGACATCAGGTACAATGAGTATTATGATAGCACCACAGGATACGGTTATCAAGATGAGAGGTGGGTATTTTGGTATTCGTTTTATCTTAAATTTGTGTACAATAGAATATGCGGTAAAGCATATTAGAAGGAAGAGAATAAAGTCCTTTTCATTTTTCAATTTTTGTTGTCAGGTATGGTCAGGACGACGAAGACAGACAGTGGGACAGCGGAGGGAAATGGTATTTGGGGACTAGTACCTATTATGAAAACAAACGGAACAGAAAAACACTTCCACAGAGGCCTGCATCTAGTATCGGCATTCATCGGCCTGATTATAGACCAACAGTTACCAGACAACGCAGTTACGAATCGGAGGAACTCAATTACAGGTATATATTAATTCAAATGAATTTCCTTATTTTATATATGAGATGTGTCTAAAAGTAATGAGACTGGAAGAGCAAAAATTCACATGAAAGTCAGTCAAATTTGAGGTGTGTGGTAGTTGCGAATACTTTTCTTTTACCTAAAATATAAGCTTATTTTAAAGGACACATTCAAGAAGTTGTAATCGAACTACAAAACAATTGCAGAAGAAGAATTGAAGCACTGCCTTCAGCGATCTATAGCTTTTGAATGACGCTATTTTTAATACAATATGTATCTTTTAACTGACGATAAGCAAAAGTTTTTACTGAACTGGTCTCATTACTTTTTAGACTCAACTCGTTCAGAAATTGAGTTGCAGAAATTGAAATTGTTGGATACTTTTTTCAGTGGTCACAGCACTCGTCGTCGTAAGCCGCTTCAGCCTCAACGACCGCCGTCTCGTCAAGAAGGGACCGGTAAAAAACTACCTCCGACGCCGACGAAGCCGAGCAGTGTTATTATCAATCGTAAGCTTGCCTCCTTACCTGCCACACCGAGCAGGCAACTGCCAAAGACTAGAACTCCCTCCGAGGAGAGCTATTACAAGTCTGACTACAACGAGGACTATAATTACGCTTATCGCAGCCAGGATAACTTGCCTCAGGATACCTACATTGACAGTATATACAGCGAAGATACCGGCTACGAACAGATGCCTGGAAAAACTCAATTCGCCGAGGACGGTCAGTATGGTTCCAGTTATACAGCCCCTGTTGATGATCAGTATGGTCGTTCGTACCAGGAACCGGTTACACAGGATGCATACGATCAAACATATGCGCGAAACTCGTACAAGGATGAATACGAGAAGTCTTACGTACAACAGAATGCGCAGGTGTATCAGGATACGTATCAGGATACTACATATCCGGACGCGAGTCAGGCGAATGATCAATATACTGGTCAGCCGAATGATCAATATAGTAGTCAGCCGAACGATCAATATACTAGTCAACCGAACGATCAATATACTAGTCAACCGAATGATCAATATACTAGCCAGCCGAACGATCAATACAGGAAGACGAGTAGAGATATGATAATAGAAGACAATTACCAGGTAATGGGTTACGATCAGAATAACGTTCAATATCAGCAGGACGGAAAGAAGGTGCCAGCTTATCAGGATGATACGTATCAAGAGCAATACGACGGTTACAATGCCTCAGTACCGTCGAGCGTTTATGACCAAAATAACGTAACAAATACTTACAATCAGTATCAACGTGAGCAATACGATTCTCAGTACAATATAAATACGTCGACTGGTTACCAGAAGACTTATCCAGACACTTACAGCCAAGAAACGTATAACACGGAAGAGTACAGTCAGGATACGTACATTCAGGACTCGTACAATCAGGAAACGTACAAACAAGAAACCTATAATCAGGAAACGTACAAACAAGAAACCTATAATCCGGAAACGTACAAACAAGAAACTTATAATCAGGAAACGTATAACCAAGATACGTATAACCAAGAACCATACAATCAGGAACCATATAATCAAGAAAAATATAGTCAGGATAGTACATATAATCAGGATGCGTATAATCAGGATATTTATACGCAGGACACCTATAATCAGCAAGATACGTACAATCAGCTACCCATCACTTCGCAAAGTAGTTACGAAGACACGTATAGTAAACCGCAGAAGGACTATGTCGATTATGAACCACCGTACAGCAAGGAAGAACCTGTTACTTACAAGACCGATTATCAGGATCAATACCAAGAGTATCACGATGACTCTTATCACGATTCTTATCAGGGATCATTTGAAGAACGTTACAAGGAGAGTCCAGCTGCCAGCACGGAAAGAAGACCAAGCGAAGTTCCGGAATTGTCTGTGACAACTCCCAGAGGACAAACGAGAACGAACGGCTATCAATCCAGCGAATCGGATTATTATTTCACGTCTCAGGAGAGCCAAGATGTCTTGTCGACCACTGTATCGAGAAGAAAAAAGCTCGAGAAACGCGACGTCAGTCCACTGGTGCAACAAAATACAGATTCTTTGGAGTCAAGAGACGACGAGTTGAAGGAGTCCATTGATACTGCCGTAAGTTCGATCAGTAGCATCCCACAGAAGAAAGGAATCACCGAGTATCCCGTCGCTGATACCACAGTCGCTGCGTCTAATTTGATCGAGTCTACGCAAGGTACGGTGCAACCAACGACTACGATGATGAATCATGTGACACCAAACCACATTCCAACAAGTATGACAATTACGGCGATGGTTCACACTACGGCGAACGGAAAACGGTTGGTGAGAACCGAATCGTATCAGGAGGAAGACGAGATTCAGGACGAGGAATATCCGGAGATCATACCGAAGGAACCGCAGAGAAAGGATTCGCAGTTGTCACATCAGAGTCAACTTAGCCAGCATTCTTCTCAACATAGCCAACCCTCACAAAAACCGAAATTGACTAGAGGGGAATCGTACGCTTCGGATCATTTCCCTGAAGAATCATACAGCAGAAGGGGTTCGTATACGCAGACACTGGGAAGGGAGTCTTTCTCGTCGACTACGCAAGAGAGCTTCAAACCGCCTTTAACGAGAGCTGATTCGTATCAGAAGAGAGGTAGTTACGCTCAGAACTTCACTGCTCCTCAGCCGATTTCCAGGGCTGAGAGCTACCAACGAGGATACTTTAAGGACCAAGAGTCTATAGAGGAGCCGGAAGTTAGTCTAAGCAACGCGGTGAACGATGAATACAAAATCAGGGACGAGTCCCTCGAAAGGTAATTTGTAATTTACGTTAGAACGTACTAGATATCTTAACTTTCTCTCCCAGTGTCTATCAAATGAAAAAGTTCTTTTTACATTGTCGATATACTGCATATGTCGATATACTGTCTACTGCAGTCAGATAAATATTTGATCCATCATTTTTTGACCCTGATATTACATTGATTTTTATTCCTTTCGAAAATTTTCGTTTCTCTAAGTAACAAATTGAATTAAGATTACTATTGTATATATATAGAAAGGCTAAAATAATAATACGTAGCCTTGTTAAATTAATTCGAATTGTTTCTTTTCATAGATACGAGCGAGGCGATGAAGCGATGCTACGTGACTCTCGAGAAGACTCGTTGGTGGACACGTACAAAACTACACCGCCCATATCGCACACCGACAGTCCACGTGGTAATTATGTTGATCAAAAATTATATTAATATGCAATTTAATCCTTGTACATAACGAAATTAATGAATGTTCGTATTTGATTGCACTGTAGGGAGTATAACGAAGCAAGCCTCTTTGGAGGAAAGTGTTCAAATGGACACACCGCCAAGGAGTCCACCCGAACCACCGCCGGACCAAGAGCTTCTGGAGATGGTCGGTGTCGCACCAGTGCCTACGCAATTGAAAGAACGACCAGAAATGACATCGAGGCAACGATGGCATTGGGCATATAACCAAATTGTGATGCAGCTGCGGGTAAGTAACATTTTTAAATTAATAGCTCTATTTCTAGTAAAGATTATTAAACGCACATTTAATTCGGGATGTAGAATTTTAATTTCAATTTGAATCTTAAACGATTTGATGAATTTTGAAAGATTATTTAATNCCGCACAAGAAACCCACGGAGACCGCACGTTCCCCACCTATCTGGAATAGACATTAATTTGGTCGTGTGGGACGTTTTTATATTCACACGTTTGTCGCACATATTGTTTCATGTAGGAATCGTCTATTTTATGAGAAGCAAGTTACGACGATAAATGTGGTGGCCACGTATTCTGCGACCAGTTTTTCTTAGCAGCACGTTCGAGTTACGTACTGGTACTAAATAGTCTTCTCGTGATCTCACTAATAAAATATTTATGTTTTTGACAATATTTCATTCCTCTATCTGTTTCGTGCCTATCTATTCTTGATACAAACAATTTATGCATAAATTCATAAAGATTGTGCTCACGTATACAAATAGTCATACGTGTATACTAAAAATTGACGTTATCGAGTGTGAACAGCGAATAACGGAAAGGAGCTGAAACTAGAGATGCCGTTAAACTTGAAACAACTTCTGCAGTTGCGGCGAAAGACACTTACAGGCGTTCAAATATTCATGGTACATCTGCTCCGCTCTATTCCGTAGTCTGATCTATGTTCTATTGCTCTATGATGAGCTGCATTCGCATTTTACGGTACGATCCATCGTAGGACGTAACGGATCGTCTTTGAAACGATAGAGATTTGATTATATGTAAGCAAACACTTACAGATTTTCCAGTTTTAGATTTTATTTTTAAATCTATATAACGCGTTCCGAGTAATTTCCCATTTTAATAGTATTATTCTNTTAACATATTAACTTCAACATTGTTAAAATGTGATAATATTAAAGCACCATGACAATTTCAATTGAATTAAATTACAAGAATACATAGAAGCCAAGGAATCAAGATTTCGCTGAAATAAAAAAACCGGCGAATTAAGAATTTAGCGATACAAGCAAGGAACCAAGCTAATTCATAAATAATTCTGCTATGTTCTTCTGTGTCGAAATTTCTCTCTTTCCTGCTGCTCCGCCTTCTTGCTACAAAATTTTCTCCGCTTCTCAAGTCGACCAACATCTCGAAACGTTTATACATATTTTAGATGCATACATATTCATCTTCTGTAAATACTCCTCAAAGTTTCGTGAACTTACATCTATTTTCTCCATCTTAAACAGTGTCTGACGTAACTACTTATGTCCGTTTGGTTTATATGTAACGAATACAAAATGTAATCAATAGTGTCTGATTAGATTGATTAATTAATTGAATGTTTAATTTAGTGTTAAATTTAATCTTGTCACAATAGTCGGAGGGAAGAAGACTTCGACTCAGAATTAAACAATAGTCGGAGGGAAGAAGACTTCGACTCAGAATTTCCGCCTCTCATATCCTTAGAGGAAAGACATACATTTAGAGACACACTGTATACGGTCAAGAACATGAAAAAGAAGTTAAAAATTGTCGGTTTCAAGTGATTTTAACCTCACGGGTCGTAGAATAAAGAATGAGAAGCAAACATCCTCTCTCAGTGGATGGTCGGTCGAATTTTTTGAACGGTCCGCCGAAAATCCCAGAGGAAATTGTCGACACTTGAAATTCACCCGTCAAAAAACTTGCATACTTTAGTAATTCCTCCTTCCTCCCGTGTCATTTACGTCCTGCTCGGACTTTTAACTTTTATCCCAATGTTCATTGCCCTGCCGGTCGTTTCTGCGCGTACAGTCGTAGAGGGAAAAGTGATTCTCGTTTTCGCTGATACTCGTTTCATTGAGGGGAAGCGCATCGTGAGTACCAGGTTACTTTTAAAATAAACAAATCTTTTGTGTTTCATTCTTTTTGTGAATGTGTTTGTCAAGTGACAAAATTGACAATACGAATATTCTTGTTTATTCTATTATTATCATTTCTATTGGATGCAGTAGTTTGAAATCAAAGTGTAGGGTAGAACTGTTCTAATATACATATAATTGATTTGATTAACATAATTACTTTTGTAATTATTAAATATATTTTAGATTTATATTCTAGAGAAACCATTTTTTTATAGTACTATACTTTCAACACGTAAGACACTATTTGTTTAAATTCGTATATGTTAATGTGAACGTAACGTTCGTAATGGTCCCTTGCAATAACGATGCTACGTGACGTGATGCAACGAGGTGTAATCAGTTGCCCTTCCCTTTAAGTGTTCTTCGCTTCGGATGTTTAGAACAACACGTACGTAATTAATGCATCTTCAGTGGGCGGAGAATACATGATACATACATACAACGTGAGAGCACATGTTTTCTTAAGCGATAGTCCTGGCACCTTGCGACATCAGCCCCCCATCCTTGTCAAGCGATCGTGTAATCGATGTTGTTGTGTTTAACTTTGTTAAAGGATGGGAGCGTTAACCCGTTTCACTATTACAGTACGTCATTTGAGCTGTTCAGTGCACACATCGATTAACTCAACTTTTTGAAAAATCTTAAATTTATGTGTCAAAGCACTTGGTATAGTCATAACTTGTGATATGTGTATGACTATATTAAGTGCTTTGACACATAAATTTAAGATTTTTCAAAAAGTTGAGTTAATCGATGTGTGCACTAAACGGCTCATTTATCAGAAGTTCATGTTAAGGGCTACGGTAGTCATGTAGTCTGTGTTTGTTGCTACATTTTTGCTCTGTTTTAACGAGAAATTATGGGTTTACGCCATTCGATCTTACATTTTTATTTCTCAGAGAATCAAGACAATATTTATTTTAATATAATACTTTAAAATGCCATTTGGTTTATCTCGACCCGACTTCCGGTTCCGGAGATATCGCAGTATGAAGATAGACATAATTTTTTTCGACGCCGCTGTTGTCCTTCTCGCACGTTGACCGACTCACGGACTTGCACTAATCTCCACTGACCGGTCTAGACACCCAGCTGATATGTAACTAGGTCACCGAACGCCGCGCCTATAAAATTTGGGAGCCTGTACTTCCCGAACATATTGAGATATCGGGATGAATCAAAAACGGTCTTTTTCATCCTGACGTCTTGTTATGTGAGAATGAAAAGACGATTTCCGTAAATTGATATTTTGCAGATTTTCGCTATGATTATTATTAAAACAGAACAAGAAATGTGAAATGTTTACCGATTGAAGTTAGAAACGTCTAGCCCATGAAATAGTATTCAGTTAGATGGTATTAATATGTAGGTTGCAAACTTTGTATCAGAGGTGGTACGCACGTTTATTGACGACTGCAAAGAACGTTAGAGCGAGGGAAAGTTCTTAAAGTCAAGCGTAAAAGTCGATTGGCAACGTCGGGAGGTAACAAGGGAACGATCAATCTCGGATTAACTGATTCTTCGGCTAGCTCGAAACCTTCTCCGAGGTGCAGCTAATAGCCCGCAGTCTTGTTAACGTGTTCCTGATTGACTCAAGCTATTACCAAGACGTTGCGATAACAAATCGCTCGGATGTTAAAGAAAAATCTCTGTCTTCCACTAAGATCATTTGTCAAACTTGTTTTTTTATTGCTTTGCAAACCATAACGTCTTACCTTCGATTGATTAACTGTAGCATTTTTCACGATGGAATCTAAATTGTTTTAAATGCTCAAAATGGTAACAATTGAATATCTCTTGCAAGATTTTTTCCGCCTTAATTTTACGCTGAGAAGTTTTCTATTACTCACTAGAAATAAATCTCTTCGCCGCTTAGCCTAGAAGTAATTTCGTTCAAGAATCCCTTCTCGTATTTTTCCACGCGATATTTTTAACTGACACGCGAAAATACATGGAACAAGGTATTACCCTTGAATATCTTTAAACGAAGAAAAATGTCCGCACTTTTTACCTACGGAATAAACATAACCGTTTTGGACCGGGATCTCTTTCAATCTGCAGTCGTATTCCAACGATTTTGTATTTACAGAAGGAGATTGCCGGTGCAAAAGAAATTAAAGGCTAGCCTGGTTCCCTTTCAGGGAATGATCATATCTGTTGAACCAACTCGATTGCTTCTGGTCCAGATACCCGGAAACGTTCTTTCCTTTTATTCGTTCCGTCGGGCAAACGAGACAGGCGGCTAGCCTTTCTCTTAGTGCACTCACAACATTTCCTTTCCACCGATCTCTATCCAACTCTTTTTCGTCCAATCGTTTCCTACAACTCGATCGATTGGCCCGTTATCAGACCTCAGACGTTCCCGATTAGAGTATGTCGACTTAAATCCCGATTAAATTCAACGTGAACGAAATCGTGTCGTCCCGAACGTGGCCCGTTGCTTTTTCAACCGTATTCCGATCACGTTTGTACGAATCACTGTGGCCATCCGAAACGTAGAATTATTTGTAACATCCATGGATTTACGGTAATTTTTATTTAACTGTGTTGATAAAATTGATTTATATGTCTTGCAAGTGAAAAATGGTGGTCTTTAAGATAAGTTATATTTGAACAGAAAAATAAATCTTTTAGAAATTCTATATATAATATATAATTCTACCTATAGAATTTAAATACATACATTAATTCTATTATATTTTATAGCGTAGCATGCATAACGATGTTCATTGGAGGGACTCATATTTTTTGTAAAATGTTTCATAATGTTTTAGTACTAATTTCAATTTATCTAGAGGTACGCACGTACACATACATATCTTGCCATAAGTCTCCATTTTTACTGTGAAAATTTCGTTGCTTCCCTTCCTTCGTTTTATTCCTCTCGGTCGCGCATGTCGGTGTTTCTGGAGACATTTTTGTTGTCGTAGAACCAGAGAGAACTCATATTTATTCATGAGCACCGATGGTATAATTAAAACGACCTCTCTCTCTCTCTCTCTCTCTCTCTCTCTCTCTCTCTCTCTCTCTCTCCCTCCCTCTCCCTCTCTCTCTCTCTCTACCTCTCTCTCTCTACCTCGCTCGTCCGTATTTACAAGCAAGTTTATATTTAGCTTACCATGCTATGTTTAAATGTGGTTAATTTGGAACGATAACACATAACACACACTCTCAGTCCAAATTTTGATATTGATTCGATCTTTTATTTTATCTTAGAGTTTGGGATCTTTAAAGTAAAGTTGGCAAAATTGATTTTTTGTCAATCAAATCAATTGACAAATATTCACATTTAATCTAGTTATGTTTAAGAAATATATAAAATAGGGTTGCTTACCTGAAATTATCACTTAATTTTTATCATTATTATTAGTCATGACGATTTAACCAGAATTTGACTACATTTACCACAAAAGAAGGCTTAAGCAGGAAAAACTATAAATGTAATGTACTACGAGTTTAATACATAATATACATACATATGTGTAAGCTGTATGAGAGAAATGTATGTATAAATGTATGTAAATCGATTCGTGGAATTGGGTTTCATTAAATTTTAGCTGTAATTTGGATTAACCATCGTAAGTACCTTTAGTACGTACGATAGAGAGAAAATTAAATTTCGTCCAATTTTTTATATTATGGAGGACAGCCGGCCGAGCGAGTTGAAAATTTAAATTGCTTAATTATTACTATGTACTGATCCTTTCGGAATTATTAATCTGCGCGCTGCCGAGTTACAGTTGGTCCTGACGCTTGATTAATTGAATGTGCTCTGTACTTCCATGCGAAATGTCCTTCCAAAAGGATACACTCGCCAATCTGAATTCGCATTTGTTTTATTGCCATTGTAATTTTATGCCATTACCAATATCGACGATACATTTAAATACATAATAAACAGCGTAAAAAATCATATGAAATTAAATAAATTAAAATTTCACAACTGTTCGCATATATAACACATTGAAGAAATTGATTATAATCGAGAACTTATCTAATCATTGTTTGCCTTTTGTTACAGGTGAGTACATTTATTTCTGTTTAATCGCAACCGCATCGATCGAATACACTGCGCGAAATCGACGGTCGCAGGTGAGTCTCTTATCTTGTTAACGATGCTTTGCCCTTAATTATGACAGGGTTGGTGTATATCAGGTTCTATATTACGATCTTAAGTGTGTAAACGATGTACATTATGCGACAGTATCGGTTGTAAACCGGTACTTTACTCGTCGTTGAAAACGTTGGCATGAGGTCTCAAAATCTCATGAGTGTCAAACCGGACCTTACTAATACAATGAAGATTTCTGAATCAGAAATTCATGAGCAAAGCTTCACTTTCCATACATTTCCGTGAAATCGTGCTTATTTATAAATCAATTTAACCTTTTGTTGTTCAAATTAGGCTTAGAACTACATTCGTAGTATTATAGCAAAGTAGTACATTACTTTAATTATTATAGGGAGTCTCACGAAACATTGGACAGTCCTCTATTTCCTAAGTTATGGGAGATAGACAAAAGTTTTTATACGGAACTTGTAAGTTTCAAGGGGCCACACCTTTTAATAGAAACTAATTCTCTTTTACGTTATTATTCAATGAGATACAATAGTAAAGTTCGTTTCTTCAAATGAGATTATACACTTTTTTTTGCATCATTTGATAGAGCTTTTCAAGACAATTTCATTTACCTTTTATTAGTGTCCATTTTAATTAGATTCTCAGATATTGAACTCTAAAATTTACTCATTTTTGGGGAATGGAAATGGGAAGCGTAGCAGAAAATCCTATTGTGGTTAAATCATTTGAAATGGACACTCAAGGCCTCCAGTGTTTCGTGGTATACCGTAGAAATATACATTTCGTATAGATTGAATAAAATTAACTTGAATATAAAATTTAGTTCGATATAGAATTGCAAAAGGTTAAACTTTATTGTTATTAATAATACTTCAGTAGGAAGTAATGCAAGTGTTTTTACTATAAGAATTTTTATAACTTTTACATTACTAGCATTTTAAGGCTACTGTGTTAAAGTGTAAACGAAAGACATATTCGTTTCCGTAAGTATCAGATATCATTTATTCGATGGATGTATCGATATATGATAAACGTAGATTGGGGTTGACAGCGGCGACAAGATGATTAAACGTGCGCAAGTTGCGCGCAATAAACTCCAGATCGACAGTGTCTTCCCTGCTTCATAAAACTTGAAATATATGGACGGTTGATCCTGATCCGGAATTATCAAAATTTTTTGAAAGATTCCTTATGTCCATCCCTGCCGCGAAATACGAACTCCACTTGGAATATATCCGTCCATTTCTATCCGCCGCTAAATGTCATGCAAATGACTATTTTTATATTATCGAACAAAGGTTCGTTTAGATAAATTTGGTCCGTTACATCTAGCGAATAACTTATTCAAAGTTCTTTTTCTACTCACAGCTCTCCAATTGCATTATCTATTATTATGCCAGAAACACATTACAATTTGAATTTGGAAATTCAAATTACAAGAGCACCAGAATTGAAATGAATTATGCAATTTTATTAAATCCTAAGATTCAAATAAATATATCCTTTATTTTTAATATGTTCTATAGTTCTAATTGAAGTTGACTTCTAGTATATGGCTCTTAAAATCAATTTTTTTATATAAGGCTTCTTATCGATTGATTTTCTTTAATAACACCATTTTCTTCTATTTTAATAATCAAACTTAAAATCAAGTTAAACATGCATAATATTGTCATGATCATCGTATTTAAAATGAATGTCACAATTTCACATACTCTCTACGTAATCAAAGAAATATTTCATCTATCTCACGTGTGATGCATGTAAGTCCATTAAATAGAACATTTTCGTTAACGATGACGCCATTAGCAGATTGTAATATTCGCTCGGCTAGTCGAGTGGATATTGCCTACTCCTTCGACAACCGATAATTCCCGAAACTGTAGAGTACCACCGGACTATTGACACGATTTACATTTTACGTGGCAACTCTGCGGTATTCGCCACCTCGTCTCATCTAAATCGGCGTTAAATCCGGGAACATATGGTCTCGGTTTGCCTCGTTACGTATACCAAATGCGTATTTGCCTTATCGCGGATATCGTCGGTTATTTTCCACCGCTGATTAATTAAATACCTTCTAAAAAAATAGTTCGATTTTGTTCCTACGCTCATTACACTTAAAGATTTTTAATTAATGTCACCTAATGATACAATATTGTTCGAAATATAATTAAAATATGTCTCAAATTATGTGGTTAAATTCTACGAAATCGTAACCACTGTTCCTTTTACTATAAATCATACAGCGTTCCAAATATGAAACTGTGTATGGCTCAGAACGAAGTACTATTTTAAGGATGTATGGGCTATACAGTCAATCCCAAAAGTTTATGTGCCTTAGAAAAACGCATTTCCTATAATTAAGAAGAAATCAGACGTCGGAAGAATAATGCTAATAATAAATAGCTGCGTGCTGAAAAGTATAGAAGGAAATATTCAATGAAGTATTGACGTTGACGAAAAATTTATTTTTTCAAAATTGCGAAAAATGCTTCAAATAAAAGTTGTTTTCGTTCTAATTTCGATATTTAACGAGTTACGTATGACTATTTGGCATTTTATTGATGTTGACAAAATCCGACCATCCCAGCGTCGAAATGGCGAACTTTTGGCAAAAAATTTCATTTTTCCTTAATTAGTCCTAAATCATTGGATCCACAGAAAAATTGTATATAACCTTTCTTGTAGAGAACGACGAGATCTACAATTTCTGTATAAAAGTTTTTCGCTAACATTAATATTTAACGAGTTATTGACGAAAAACGAAAAAACAGTTTTTTGCAAATTACTCGTAAACTATTGACGCTAGCGAAAAGTTTTTGTACACAACTTGTAGATCTCGTCGTCCTCTACAAGAAAGGTCATATGTAATTTTTCCTTATGTCCAACGGTTTGGGAGTTATTGGCTAAAAACGAAAATTTGAAAGAAATTGAAGGGGTACCCCTTGGAAAAATCTCGGAAAAATTTTTTGTTGTTGTTTATTATTAGCATTGATCTTCCGACGTCTGATTTCTTATTAAAAAATGCATTTCTAAAGTGCATACATTTTTGGGATTGACTGTATAGCCAATACATCCTTAATATTCTCTATCATTTTATTTTCATGTTATAGTTTAGTATAATGGGTGGTATACATACATTTAAAAAATAATGCAGTTGTTGAATGCACCATTGCATTTCAAAGAACATAGTTTTACGAATGTAGAATTCTTTAAATCGCTTATCTTTCTCTTCTTATTATTTTCCCGGAATTCCACTGATAATAGAATTATAACCTGAAACAATTTCGTGGACCATTCTATGTACCTCACTAAAGGAGATATTACCTTTTTTAGATAAACCATTTCTTATTTCCAAGCACAAAGTATAGTATTTCGTAATAGAATACGCCCTAAAATTAAGTTTGCTTAATTTAATTATTAACGTATAAGGAATTTATAAAAGGCTAGGGTGCGAAATCTAAATCTGTGCGAAGGGAAAAGGCTTCACGCTTCAGATGTGTTTTTAATCAATTTTTAGTAAAAACTAGGCGCTTCACCGTACTTTCGGTTCCATGTCGTTCTATAAGGTGCCCTGATTCATTTCACTATAATTACTCTGTAAAATAGAGAGGGTATCGGATGAAACGAGGCCAAACGATGCACTGTGTTCACGTAAAACCATGAATTATCTATCCCATAGAAAAAAAAGTTTTAATAATGAAAGCTACTTTGCAAAATATTATTTGCTCGTGTTATTTTACCAGCGTGCATGCATTTTATAGTTCGCGACACTAAAGTTTGCTAACATACTCATCCCAGAGTTACTCTCGAGTACTAGTAATATGGATTTAATTGATTTATCTCTCAAATTTATTTAGTCTGCTCACCACGCAATATCGCTTTGTTAATGAGTATTCTCGTAATTCGGTGAAAATTATTATCATGGACGAGTATGATAGTTCATTTGGAACTCCAAAAACAGAGGGTAACTTCCATAATGAGAATTTGTCAATTCCTCCTTTTCTAAATAACGAATAGGTTCCTCGTAATTGTTCATTCTGACCAATAAAACTGCCAATATTCTATACATTAAAGGAGGATTAGTTAGAACTTTTGTAAACACTGTTTACATACATGCTTAACAAATATATACTTTCCTCTGTTACCTAGTCAATCAACTTTTAATTAAAATAGCCAATAACAAGAATTTTAGAGCAGTAACGCAGCTGTTTTTAGTAATTTCTTCGTGCAAGTAATTTGTGTGAGCATCCAAAGCGGTTTGTTAATAGTATAATGAATGTCCGTAACATTTCCATCCTAATTCCAAATGCGGTACACATTCGAAACGTTTCCATTACCATTTTCCTTCCATTAGGCGAGGAATATCCAATTTGCAACAGAACTCGAAACGATGTTCATGAGTTTAAACGGAACGCTTTCTGAGGCCATTGCGTTCCTTAGAAGCGTGTCCCTTGCTCAATTTCGAAATTGCCGACTGGAGAACGTTTACGGAGACTTAATAGAAAGTAATTTAAGGGTCGATTGCGGGGTCGGGGAAGACTTAATGGTTTGGGGTTAAAAGAAAATCGACCCGTAGGGGATACAACGGTTAAGGGAATTAGAGTCGTGCAGGAGTGAAAGGACAGGATATGAGTTCAGGTAGTATAGTATCACAGATTACGGTAAAGATGCAATGAAGATTGATGGTTTTGCGTAGTTTTCATGTCGATAAACGCCTGCGATCATGTTTTTTCGGGAAATTTAGAACTCATGTTATAAGATTAAGTAACAATTGTACTCCTCTTATACTGGGATTTTGGTTGTACAGCTTGGGATAATGATTCTCCTTTGAGCATGTTAGTTTCCTCTAGGGGGACAAGGCACCAAGATATTAATCTATGCCTCATTCTTTCAGTACTCAATCTGGCATTGATGCAACTGAAATCTGAAACATACTTCTTTACATTTTTCTTAAAAATACTTTATTGGTATTTTAAATTAACACATTTTATTTCGGATTAGCATATCACTTTCACGAGTTTAAAATGAAATAGTTCTCTTTACGCCGATAATTTAAAAATCCAACTCTCTTTT